CTTTGCAGCCGTCTCCCTGTGGTCTCTTTGCCTCTGGTCTCTCTTTCCAGAAACATATCTCCAGTCTTTCTTTGGGGCTTGTCCTCCTCTGACAAAGTCAAGTGAGTTATTCTCAAATTTCCATATAAGGAAAAGGAGTCTATGGTTTATTTAATCTTACATTTATCCAGACACAATTTTTTTTTTTTTTGCCCTACTTTCCTTCTGCACAATCCTACTCACAAGTAAGCATTATTCATTGTCTCTAATGTGTGTCCAATAAGAGGAAATCCTTGGGTTTAAAAATATTCATGTGCAACACCTCCTTCACAGTAGTGACTAGTACCAATAGCAGGGGTCAGTTGTTGGTATCGATTGTAGGCATGTCTCTGGCGCAGTGCTGGAAACTTTTCCCATGCTGCTTCGCATGATCATCACAGCAGGCCTCTGCGGGGCGGGGGGTGGGGGCGGGTGGAATTCCATTTCCTTCCTAGGCAGAGCTGCTCATGGGAGCCCTGCACCTGAGAGCAGAGGTGACCCGCCCAAGGGAGTATTGCAATTTAGTGGCAATACCGACTCCAGGCTTCCCACCCCTGTTCTGGAATCAGACGGGCCTGGGTGGTGTCAGGCAATTTTCATCTCTCTTTGAGTTTCCATTTCCTTAACCACAAAATGGTGGTAGTGACATTTTCTACACAGAACTGCTATGAAGATTGACTGCTTGCATGCTGTGCCTAGGTCCGTAACTCTTGGTCTCCTTTACTTCCCCCAGCAAAGCCTCCTTCTGGATACTTTTCATTTATAGATTTCTCCATGCTTATTGAGGTGTGGAATGAGTCCCCTCCTTTATAGGAAACTGCCCCTAAGGAGCTTACATGGATGAAGAGAAAGGAAATGGACACGATGGTCAGTCTTTTGATGTGAGAGTAGAAAAGAGGGGAGCAGGAAAAAAGTACCCCTGGGATTCAGAGACATCAAAGACTAGGAGGAGACAGACTCACTGGGAATAATTTTCGATGAGGATGAGGGTATTGAGGGTACACATCTGTGTGTCCCCAGCACCTGGCATGCACTGCTTGAACTGAACTGGCCTCTGAGTCTGGATGTCAGGGAGATCACTATGGTCTGATGTGGCCTGAAGTAGGACGGGAAGGAATCCTGCCCTTCCTGTCACACCCCTCACCCCACCCTCTGTCTTGGGGACCACCCTAGAACTCCTGGAGCAGGCCAATGGCATTTGGTGGGGAGAAAGAGGGTGCCCAGAGTAGACAGACACGTGGACCAGCTCAGGTCCAGTCTTGGTTGGTGCACCCTCTGTCGGGGAGACCGTGTCACATCACCAAACTCCAGAGACTTCCCAAATGTTCCTCTCTTCCCAGCTAGCCCTGAAAGGAACCCTCTGGGGCATGTGCCACCCAGACTCAAACCCCATGTCAGGCACGTGGCCTGAATTTTTTGTCCCAATGGCTGACTCTTGCTTCTGACTGGGACACCAGCTTCTTCTAAGTAAGCCCAGTCCTATTTCCATTCGGCTGCCCGGTACTCTCTGGGCCCTGAGGACACTTAAAGGCCTGCATCTCACACCTGCACGGTCCCGAGCTCAGGTATCCAAAGGCAATATCCTGAAGGAACTTTATTCACTGCCTGTTTGGGGGGGCGTGCCTGCGTAAAGCAGGCAATTTTATACACACCTTCATTTCTCACTCCCAGTGTTGGCAACGGAGTCAGGAAAGAACATCCTCATACTGTTGGTGAGAGCTTTCAGTGGACTCCAATTTCCAGAGGCCAAGTTGGAACCACGTACATGAAAAGACTTAAATGTGCCTAACTTGTGACCCAGCGATTCCTCTTCTAGGAATTTATCGTAGGCAAGTGTACAAAGACATGTGTACAAGACGGTTCAGCAGAGGATTGCTTTAAAAAGAGTAAAGACAGCCTCCAAAATTCCAACATCAGGGGATAGGTCAAGTAAACCATAGTACCTCAATAAACTGGAATCCAGCTAGCTGTAAGAAATAGTGGTGTAGCTCGATACATCTGTATCTATATAGAATGATATGTAAGTGATTATATATGTGGTTACAAAAGTATGTAGTGACAATAGGTAGCACTTACTAAGTGCTTACTATGTGCCAAGCACTATTCTAAGAACTCCACAGATATTAGCTCATTTAATCTGCACACAGTGACAGTTGGGAAAGAACCGTCACTGATCCCATTTTACAGGGACTCAAAGAGGTTCTGTGCTCAAGCCACACACTAATGACTAAGCTGGAACAGTCTCCAGAGCCCACGTTCCTGAATACCACGATTCTGCTTCTCAGTATAGGGTCCTATGTGTGCTAAAACAAAATGAATGGGGGAGGGGGGTGTGTTTAAGAAAGTCTGGAAGGATTGGAATGAGAATATTAATTGAGGCATTATCATAGGAATACATTTAAAAAAAAAACACTTAACACACTGCTGTTTTTCATTTCAGTTAGATAAATTTGCTGTGTAATATTAGAGATCATTCCCCTAGTTCTACACGATGCCCGTGCTTATGAGGAGGTTGAAGAACAAATGGCACTCTTTCAGATGGTGGGTTGAGTGTCACTAATTTTGACAAAGGGTTGAGAAGGATCAGCTCTGGTTTTTTTCAGTTTCAAGTCTGTACCACTGAGGAAGTCTCTTCAGTGGTCTTTTTAAATAGTTCAAATAATCTTTAAAATTCTCCACATGTTGAAGGTATATATAAAAGTATAAAGGGCCCAGGGACACCTTTAATGCTATGGAATGATCCCTGGCATCCTTTGAATTTAAAATCACTAATTTTTTTCCTTTTTTTGACTGTTTTAAGAAAAGAAAAAACAGGACAGGGGCGGTGATGTGGAGTGCTTGCAGAACAGTCTTTGTTGTATTAAAACCGACATTCTTTATGCCATGTTTCATTTAGAAGCTGTTTCCACACCAGCTTCTCCAGGGGCCCAGGGGTTGCCATACCTTCTGCCACTCTGAGTCCTGCTTCCCTACCTCCTGGTCCCAAGGCCTGCCTTTTCCTGAAATGCTCCTCCTTGGGGCTGCGCTAGGAAACGGTTTCTCATGCTAGAGCAGCTCAAAGAGTGAAGGTAGCCAGGAGTCAACAGTGCTTTAAAACACACCTCAGAATGGCAGCACCCTCCTCTGCGTCCATCCCCAGGCCAGGCCTCTGCGTGACCTACCTCAGTTGGCACTCACATTGGCCTATCAGGCGTGATTTTCCTTTTTTGAGTTGAAGTGTAGTTGATTTACAGTGTTGTGTTCATTACTGCTGTACAGCAAAGTGATTCAGTTATAGATATATATATTCTTTTCCATTATGGTTTATCGTAGGATATTGAATATAGTTCTCTGTGCTATACAGTAGGACCTTGTTGTTTGTGCATTCTATGTATAAAAGCTTACATCTGCTAACCCCAACCTGCCACTCCATCCCTCCCCCAACGCCCTCCCCCTTGGCAACCACCAGTCTCTTCTCTATGTCCGAGATTCTGTTTCATAGGTTCATTTGTGTCATGTTTTAGATTCCACATGTAAGTGATATCATATGGTATTTGTCTTTCTCTTTCTAACTTACTTCACTCAGTATGATAATCTCCAGTTGCATCCGTGTTGCTGCAAATGGCATTATTTCATTCTTTTTTATGACTGAATAGTAGTAATCCATTGTATATATGTACCGTATCTTCTTTATCCATCTATTGATAGACACCTAGGTCGTTTCCATGTTTTGGCTATTGTGAATAGTGCTGCTATGAACATAGAGGTGCATGTTTCTTTTTGAATTATAGTTTTGTCCAGATATATGGCCAGGAATAGGATTGCTGGATCATATGGTAACTCTATTTTTAGTTTTCTGAGGAATCTCCACACCATTTTCCATAGTGGCTGCAGCAACTTTCATTCCCACCAACAATGTAGGAGGGTTCCCTTTCTCCACACCCTCTCCAGCATTTGTTACTTGTAGAATTTTTAACGATGGCTATTCTGACTGGTGTGAGTTGGTACCTCATTGTAGTTTTGATTTGCATTTCTCTAATAATTGGTGATGTTGAGCATCTTTTCAAGTGCCTATTGGTTATCTGTGTTTCTTCTTTGGAGAAATGTCTATTTAGGTCTTCTGCCCATTTTTGGATTGGGTTGTTTGTTTTTTTGTTATTGAGTTGTATGCGCTGTTTGTGTATTTTGGAAATTAAGCCCTTAATGGTCACATTGTTTGCAAATATTTTCTCCCATACTGTAAGTTGTCTTTTTGGGTTTTTTTTATGGTTTCCTTTGCTGTGCAAAAGCTTGTAAGTTTGGTTAGGTCCCATTTGTTTATTTTTATTTCTATTGCCTTGGGAGACTGATCTAAGAAAACATTGGTACGATTTATGTTGGAGAATGTTTTGCCTGTGTTCACGTCTAGAAGTTTTATGGTGTCATGTCTTATGTTTAAGTCCTTAAGCCATTTTAAGTTTACTTTGTGGAAAAAATATGGAGTGCTTCATGAATTTGCGTGTCATCCTTGCTCAGGGGCCATGCTAATCTTCTCTGCATTGGTCCAATTTTAGTATATGTGCTGCCGAAGCGAGCACCGGGTAGGTGTGATTATCCCAAGTTTTTAGAACATGAAGTTGATATTCAGAGAGCTTTGATGACATGCCCAAGGTCCCACAACCACAATTTAAATAAAAATTTGGTTTCAAAATATGCGTTTTCCTCTTGACACTGTCCTGACTTGTGGTGATTTACTCAACTGAGTTGCTTTGCTTTCTTTCTTTGGCTTTTTTTTTAAGCGGGGGAGTAAGGGGTAGAGAGTTTGGGCACAAGGGAGCATGATTTTTTTTTTTTTAAGTAAAAATGATTTTTTTAATTTTATAAACATGAATGCATCTTAGTGTTTCTAGAAGGTAGGTTAACTAGATAAATTTCAGGGTTTAAAGACACACACACACACACACACACACACACACACACACACAC